GAGATTATGAAGCAAGGCCTTTTAGTGGGACTGAACAAACTACCACAATCCCCACCCCACGCACACCCACCCACCCACATGCACAAGCAAAGCACTTGGGGTGGGGGGGAAGCAAGGAATCCAGAAGCAAGGTCATTATGCTAACTGTGTGGGCATTACTGCTTTGTGTGGACCTCTTAACAGCGTTAACCTGGTTTTTTAATTCTAGCAGAGTAAAGGCGGACACACCTTGCATGGACTCCTCCCAGCTTGCCCAACATGAAGTCCTGGGGAGGCATGTTAACAGAAAGTAGGCCAAGCTACATCTATGAAGCTGTTCCCGAAAGCTCCGTCATTATGATAAAGGGCTAATGCTATAAGCAGAGCATGATCCACACAAGCCAGCAAGGTAGCTGAAGGGCTGCAGTGATGTGATCTTCTCTGTGCCTTGACTTCCATCAGGACTTAATACATTCCAGAAGGAAGCAATTAACAGAGCAGTCAGGTATGCAGTCAAGCTCAGGGTGAGTCAGCCTTTTTGTCTTGCATATCCCCCCACCCCCACCACCATTTCTATTTTTATTTTATTTTATTTTTTAATTTTCCAGAGTCCTAAATCTTGTTCTTTAAAGAATGGAAACACTGCAACAAGTCTGGGCTGAAACCTAGAATAGAACATCCTGACAAACAGCCATGCCCCTTGAATGACAGTCTGGGGCTCCCAGTTCACTGCCTTGTTGCAGCACATACTTCTCAAATTTAATAGGCACTCAATTTAACCGGCATGTTGCTTATTGCACTGGCATCAGTTCTTTCAGTTTGAACATATATCTTCACACCTTCATAGATATATATTAAAGAACCAGGGTTCAAAGAAATATAAAAAGGACACACATCTACCATTTTGACAGAACCACCATCAACAGCATTTAAACCAAATGCTCTTGCACCAATCAATCTTGAAAATAAAACATACCTGGACAATATGTGGCAGTTCAAATACCAGGCTGAGTCTAAAATCAAAGTCCCACTCAGATCATGGAACTCACTGGGTAACCATCTCTCAGTCTAACCTACCTCACAGGGTTGCTGGGAGGATAATATCAGGTGGGAAACCATGCATTGCCCCTGTGCACAGCAGAATATAAATGTAATAAATAATAATGAAAATTGCCTCTCTTCTGTTACGATAGCCCAGAGGAACCCAAAATCAATGAGTACTCTGACAAGCAGGACCCCTTCTGTTGCCTTCAGGGCTGCAGTGGCAGAGCAGGCAGGAATTAGCAAATATCTGTGCCAGAGGTAAGGGCTGAAGGCAGCTCACATTCTAAGCACAGGGCAATTCACAGAAGGGAGCTAGCTCATTAAAGGAATCGCAGTACAATATATCCCCCAGCACTTCATGATCAGGTTCAGATAGCAGGACAACACACACACAAGATCTGAATGTAGGTTATCATCAAACAGTAGGCTATTTCTGAAATATATGCTATCTGAACCCAGCCCAGATAACAAACCATGAACAACCTACAGTTCACAACCCAGCAACAAGTCTTGATGAATTGTTTCTGGTTAAACAAAGCTGTGCTAAATTGTGACCCACAATTTAGCCCTAGAACATGTTACCTTTTTGTCTCATTCAGGTCAGAACTGAAGGCTTCCTCGCCTGAGACGTCCAGAGCCCCACTAGAGCAGTGCTGCAGCTATCAATGCCACTTAAATGACCTACTCATGGAGTTTTACTCATGAGAAAGCCTTATTCCTAAATTAAGTTCTCCTGTAACTGACAACCAGCTGAGCCTGTTCAGTTGATTGTATTTCTGCACCAGCTTTCTGAAACAAGCTGTTTACAAAAATTTCAGTGCATAAAAACCACAATCAAGTAAAAACATAGCAAAACATTTATGAACAACAGTAAGAAGTGTAACAGTGTCAAAAACCCTAGTTAGAACAAGGGCAGGTCAGCACCTGTCTGTAGTCCAGACAGGGGGCCATTTGTGACTAGAGAAGAACATTTGACTGTTCTCTCCCAGGAAGGTCCCATGGATAGCCTGCTCTGAGAAAGATTTCTCCAGAGAGGGTAAGCCAGCTCCTCACATTGCATCTGCTGGATGGGACCTGCTTGGGTGGAGAAGTCATCTCAGAAGCCCACAACTCTGTATGTGTGTATAATTTCCACAGTATGGCTCTTCTCCAACCAAGACTTATCTGAGGAGTGAGGCTGCTGTGAGGAAGTTTCTATGGTATGGCTTATTTCTTCATAGCCTCGGGGTCTAAAGGGACTGAAATCAAATATGCACTAATGTGATGAGTATCCCCGTATATGACCAGATTAAACAGTTGATGGTTGATTTAAGACAATGATCCCATTATAGACTAAGTCAAATTAATTATTTTCCATGAATACCCATGGTTAAACTATCATTAACCATCATTAAACTAAAATGATAATATCCTGACCAATAAAAAGGGGTGATGGTAAAAGGTCAGGCAAAAATGAACATCTCACTCCTAAATAGCAAATAATAAACAGCACTTATTTATAAAACTTTATAAAATGTAATTTGAAACTGAATCTCAAAAAGTATAAAAATGTAGTTCCTTGGTGATTTATTATTGCTCTTTCAGTGTAGAATTTGCATCCTGTCTTGACTTTTTTTCACAATTAACAATAGAATTGTCCTGATCTGCAACCAAATGCAGACAGTATGCAATCCTGAACTTTGGGATGGAAAGTCTGCATGCCTTTTGCACTACGGAGCGATCTGCTTAGAGACAAGGTGGGCACTTAAGAAACCAACAGATAAGATTGGCTCCATTCAAAGAAAGGGTAGAAGTACTTGCTGGGAGGGGTATGGACTCTTCCAATTTCTAGGTGGGGCAGTTGCTTGATAACTAACAGCTGTAAACACAGTCAGCTTTCCCATTTCAGATGTTTGCAAAATGTCCTCAAAGCATCCAGGCTAAAATAAAATAAAGTGATGATATGAAAAAATTGGACACATCCTGAAGATTAGAAAAAGTTATAGAAAGTCGTAAGCAATAAAAGAAGTTAAACGTTTCCTTTTAAAATACAAATGGAAAGTGGGGGAACCCGCCACCCTTGGAGAAGGCTGATTCCTTTCATCTTGCCAGGGCCGTGGCTTCGTGTGGGTGCAGCTGCCTTGGCAGCCAGCCCAGCAGCGTAGGTGTTGTTCTCTGAACAAAAGTTCAGGGCTGCCAGATGAGCCATATCACCTCCATAGAGAACTTTGTCCTTTAAACCTAGAAATGATTTGCTTCAGTAGAACAGTCAGATATGTCCTCAGCTCACTTGACAATCTCTGTAAAATATGCGGAGACAAAGGCTTGTGTTCCCTTTTTTTCACCTTCCAAGGCATCCTTGCTTCGCACATTCAAGGCTCTTGGCTGCCTTGACAACACAACACCTTAGAACATTAATACAAAGCCTTTCCTTGGTCCAATGGTGCAGGGCGGGGGAGCAAGGAAATCTGCATGGCCACGTGATCATGTGTCATTGGGTAGTCAACACTAAAAATCTTCCAGTGTTAATATTGTCACTGTGGTTTGGGGACAACAATATGCCAGGTGCCATCCAGAGCAAAGAAACCCTTATAGAGAGAGGAATTTATTCCCAGAGAAATATTGTGCTTGATTTGGAGTACAACTCTCACCAGCCTCAGCCAGCATGGCTAAGGGCCCATGTTAATGGGAGATGTTTTCCTAGAGTAGGAGCAGATACACTGGGAAGAGAAATAAGATTCAATGTCTTATAATCACAGGTAAAGAGTAAAAAAGGCTTGAGTAAATGCAATGCTGCCATGAAATTGATTTAGAAAATGTCCAGGAGGCATCAAGCAAGCATGTTGAACTTTCAGCCAAAAGCTGAATTCTATCTTGGAGACTTACCAGAATATTGTAGCTTATTACCAGTAACGAAGCCTTAGGAGAGGTGCTTCTTTTTTGGGGGCGGGGGGGAATGGAAAAACTGAGAAACCATCAAAACGTTAGTAATTAGGGAAAGTGGTGAGGCAAGGAGAAGAGTATATAACCATCCAGAGGATGCCAGAACATGGATGAGTCCCCTTGGCCTGAGCTTCTTCAATTCTGACATAAAGGATATGGAAGACAACATAGGGAAATTAATGGGGCAGAGACATGGAAATATATGATTAATGTTGTCAGCAGAACCATCACCATTGGGGTGATAATGAAACCATATAATAATGAGCATCTCTCTCTCTCTCTCTCTCTCTCTCTCTCTCTCTCTCTCTCTCTCTCTCTCACACACACACACACACACACACACACACACTACATTTATACTCCATCTTTTTTGCTCTTGCAAGGTATCCAAGGCAGCTTACACACTTTTCCTTCTGTCCATTGATTCTCAAAACAACTCTGTGAAGCAGGATAGGTTAAAAGTCTGCAACTGGTTCTAGTCAGCCAGTGAACTTCATGGCCACATGGGCACTAGAACCTGATCTCCCAGATCCTCAGTCCAGCACTTCAACCACCACACTGCACTGGCTCTTGGGAAAACCACAGGAACATGGAGGGCCCTTGTACAATAGGAACAATGTGCATGTCACTTCTGTATTGTCACAGTGAGGGCTGAAAGAGGTGCTCCCCAGTGGCCAGGCCCGTCATGTGGGGTCCCACTCACTGGATGACGACTTCCACTGCAGTACCTGCACTGGAGTGACTGACATTTTATAAATATGTAAACTGAATGACCCTACCTAGCCTGTGTAGTTCTGCTTTTTTCAGAGTTCTGATATTATCCATTAAGTTTGGTAAGATCTGTGCTCAGAGCTTACATTCATTTCCTGCTTTACTCACAGAAATCTTAGCACAGTGGAAAATTCTTAACTGTTATTAAGAGACAGATCACTAGTTGGCCAAAGGTGTTTGAACAGATACGTACTGGACCAGCAAAGTGATGTTACATGACTAAAATCCCAATACAAGGGGAACACAAGGGGTTTTTTCCTAAAGTTTGTTTATTTATTTATTTAGGAGACTTCTATGCCGCCCCATTCGCCGAAGCCTCGGGGCGGCTTACATCCATAAATAAACATCCTTAAAATAATATAAATTAACAGTATAAATTAAGTTTAACAACAAAACAACAAAAACATACACATCACATTCTTTTCATAAGCATTGCTTAAAGAGAATTTAGAATTAAGAAAGGTGATTCTAAATCTTACCTAATAAATGTTTTACTGTGCTTCTAATTAGCAGCATTTTAACAGTTGCATTTTATAGTGACGTTATAGTGATGTTTTATATTGTTTTAATAATTAATGTTTTTATAGTAGTTTTATATTTATTGTATTTTTATATATTTTGTAAGCCGTCCTGAGCACTCAAAGCAATAGGACAGGGTATAAATGCCTGTAATAAATAATTAGCTGCAGGCAAAATCCATTGTTTTTCTGTGAATATATCCCAGTTTGTCCTTGGAGACTCTTTACCTTAGTATTACCCTGTTTGTTACTTGGTTTGGCATGGGAAAGTTTGGAACAGCAGTCATCTGACTCTTTGTTGTGTTAACAATCTGGCTAGTGCTGGGGCCTCGAGTCCAGTGATATCCTGGGGCCATCTTGGAGGAAGGCATCTGCAATGGGCTGGGAGGCAGACATGAACTCAGCAGAGGGGGTACAATATGGGGAAGCAGATGGCTTCAGCTTTTTGGCATGGGAGTGGTTTACAACACACACTCCCACCACCACCACCACACACACACATACCCCACCACCACCTCCCTTTTTCTGGTAAAGTTGGCTCATTAGATTTCAGAAATACTGATGTCAGAAAGACTTAAGACGTGATTCAACAGTTTCTTGCAATGATGAGATTCAACGTGGACTTGAAAGTAAAGACTTGAGACCTGGAGTAAAGGACTTGAACACAACACTGCCACCATGAGCCTGATTGTTTGTCAGGCACAAGGAGGTAAAAAACTATGAGATAATCACACAGTGTCCCTTGCCATGATGTGTGAACTTGACCAGTCTGTTGGTGAGTGGGGCTGCATGAAAATTAGGCCAAGATGAAATTAGGCTGAGGGTCGCATGTGGCCCATAGGAAGGAAGGTTAATCACCCCAGGTTTAGTGTGGCCTGATTTGTACTAAGTTATCAAACTGTTCATTGAGTTCAGTGCTGGCTAGGTAAGGCCATCCTTCTCTCTTTCACTTTCTCTTTTGGACTAGTCCCAAATAATACAACTATTTTTGTTCTTTTTAGGAGGAGTAAATGGGATCTCTGTGCTTGTATGATTAGTAGGCTACTGTAAGAGGATTGGAGCTAATGTCAGCTAGGGAGGAGAAATTCATTTCTGTTCATTTTTAACTGGAACTGAAACAGTTTGCACCTTTTAGACTAAACATGAACTTGCAGGCAATCTGCAGTGAAGCCATATTATTTTGAGCTTTCAATATGATTTGGGGCCCAAAAACAATGTGTTCAACAGTATGCATATCTCTGAAAAATGCATATTAAAATCTGAATCTTTGAAAAATGTGCACAAATACTCTTTCACCAAGGGAAAAAGAATGTGCATATGTCAAAGAGGTGTACAGTTGATGCATGTATTTGGGAAAACATGCATGAAAATTCTCATGTGAAAAGTGGGGAGAGCTCATAATCTGCTATGAATCCAAGTTAAATAAGCTTCAAGATAGCATCTGGAGAACTACAGTGAGACTAAGCTTTTCTGATATGCACATTTCTAGTGTCGGCAAAATACTAGAAAGTTTGAAACACCTGTTGCACCTGTTTGAAATCACCACTGATTGCCACACTGCCAGAAATAAAGGTGAGCTGCTGCTATCTCACAAAATGTAATGGTGGAAAAGTACTTTGAACAGAAAACATTGTACTATTACAATATTCTATTACAATAGTCACAAAGAAAAGCTGCTCGTGAACAAAAACTGCCAGGGTTTTCCAAACCTCAGGAAAGTCTCTCATCATCCTCATCCTCATCATTACAAGCATTTATATCCTGCCCTCAGGATGGCTCATGCGATCCTATACACTGGGTAGGGTTGATGGAGTTTCTGTCCAGCAACATCTGGTGGGCATTCAATTCCCATTTCTGCTGTGCGTACCACGGAGTTAAATTTTGTTGAATATAATAGTATTTATTTCTGAGTAGAAATGTAAAGACTCGCAATGCTCATTTGCCAAACTGCCTTTCCTCTTTATGTATGTTCACAATTATAAGTCTTATTTTGAAACTGCTTGAACAGAAGATTTTGGTTTAGTAACATATGTTAAAAAAAACAACAACTACATGACCCATAAGCCTCTGTTCCAGATAAAGAAGTTTAAAGTCTTGATTTTTAAAGTGATTATTATTTATCCAATATATTTATATAATGTTGTCCATATTTTAAAAGATCTAAATATTTCTTCCCTCACTCCCCAGTGTTCATGACTTAGGCTTATTACATGTAAATCTGTGATAATTTCTGTATTGTTGTTAATGGCCTAGTTCCACTATACATTTTCTATAATTTCCATGACTGGAGGCATTTTTGCATTTTTGCTTTTGATCTCTCACTGCTAACTTAGTTTGTCCTTTAAGGCTACCATGTGGTAATCCACAAAATTAATCATTCATAAGAAAATTGGTTCAGTCTTAAGAAGTTTCTTGGATGCCTGAAAGCTGAACAATCAGCCATTTGGCCCATTTACTTCATGTTATAGCATAGAGGTCCTTGATAAACCAGATAGCTGACTGGTTTAGACCAGCTGAAAAGAAAGTGACCCATTTTAAACCAGTTTAAAAAATTGCTTGGGAGGGAAAAGGTCACCATCTGGTTTCTTCTGGGTCTTTCATAAAGGCTGTGATCTTGCACTGTCCCACTGAAATTAATGTGGCTTTGAATCCAGAACAGGGTAGATATCTTAGTGGCAGAGTATGATTTGTACAGAAAACATCCCAGGTTCAATCAATGACATTGCCATGTAAGGCTGGAGGGGAAAAAATCTGCCTAAGCCTGCAGTGAGCTCCTGCCAACCAGCATCGCGGTACTGAACTAGACAGAACAATGGTCTGATTTGGCGTTAGGCTGCTTGCTGTGTTTCTAAAGTGTTGGATGCAGGTAGCACCATGGATTTCAAGAAAGCAAGCTGTTTCTGGAACACCATATTTCAAACCACATATTGTATTAATTATCTAGCATGGAGCTAGGCTTTTATCTTTCCTTTTACTCTGGAGTAACGGTGCAGAATCTTAGCCTGGTGCAGGACCAGATTTAGTCCTCAAGATAATCATCAAGGATTCCCCTCAGGAAAATTGGTCCCAAGAGCCCCTCTGAAATGGAATTCAACTACTGGATTGAAAGAAGTTCTGCACCCGCTGCTGTAGAGGAAGTTTCATGGTCCTGATTTGGCTTGTGAGTATCAGGCACTGTGAGGGGAGCATTAAATCTTCTGGCCAAGCTATTTGCTTTTCAACCCCAACCACCCAAGTGTCATGCACGGTTTAAAAAAAAAAAAAAAGATTAAAAGCTTTCATTAACCACTTGCAACTCCATCAAGATGCTTGCCATCACCTTGCCATTGGTTAAAGATTATGTCCTGAAGGTACTCTCAAGATACTAAGTACTGAAGATACCATTTCATAAGCCCCCAACCAACTGGTTGGAAGTTATGTCACTTCGTAAGTTCCATCCTTTTCAAGGGTATTCATGATGGAGTAGAACCTCCTGGGAATTTACAAAAGAAAGCATTATGTTTTTGGAAATACTTGCCTGATATGTATAGGTATACATACATGAATACCACACAAAACATGAACAGTTCAAGGCTAGCTCATTGGCTCAACTTTAAAGATACCCCTAAATCGAGGTCCCAAAAAATCTTATTAATCACATTAATCATTATACTCAAATTTAGTATAATCACTGGAGATATATGGGGGTATATTACTAAGAAGTATGAAAAAGAATCTATGTTTGGCTGTGCACAAGTCCATCATGACTTAAAAACAAGCAAAGCTAAGCTCATCTTTCCCCACATACAAAGAGCAGCTTTCTGTCCTTAATATTACTTCAAAAAGCCTTTCTCCTGCTAACAGTCCTCAGAGCTGTGATTCTCAAAGGGTGGGTTGTGGCCCACAGATGCTTTCTGACCTTTTCCCATAGAGAGTGCACAACAAGGGGCCACCCTTTTAATTTCCCTTTTAATTTCAGGATTCTTTCTTTCTTTAATGGGGCTGACCACCATTACTGATTTGTGTTCTTTTTATGGGACAGACTGTTCCCTCCCACTGTAACTCACACATATAAAGTCACTCCTAGATTAACATTAAAATCACAACTAAAATATAGACATTCTTCAGTGTGAACTACCTTTGTGTTTTCTGTTATGGAAGGGAAAAGTATAGCTCAAAAGGAGTTACTTGACAAGGCTGTGTGATTTTACATGTGGGCTACACTTCAAAGCATCGACCTGCCTGGGAGAATCACTAAAATTAGTCTGTAAGAAGGTGTGGCTGTGTGTCAGCTTCACACACTCATATGAACATAGACGTTCTGATGATGGTGAGCAGGCCTATCACTATGCTTCTTCCTGGCTTGTGATCAGAGGCTGAACAAAAGGAGTCAAGCTCTCCTCAATGGTTGGAAATCCCATGCCAGCCTTTGGAGTGCAACAAAAACACCATAAAACAACAGTGATATTTTCCAAAGAGAAAGGAAGGCTACAATTCTAGTCATTTAGGGCACATTCCAATGCATGTTTAGACAGAAAAAAGAACTTCCAATCCTCAGCCAGCTTTGTTTGCTGGGAAATGCTGGGATTTTTATAAGTTTTTTTTCTTTCTAAACATGTATCAGATAATGCTTTTGCTAGACAGAGAGCTCTATTGGACACTGTAGAACTTACTTCTGAGTAAACATGCATAGGATTGCACTGTTAAAGCTCATGTAGCACAGCCCCCCAAATTCTCAGTGATTTGGTAATTATTTGGTAAACATAATAATCTGTATCCTAGTTTGGATGGATTAAAATAATAATTTTCCCAAAGTACCATTCCATGTTGTTCTGCATCTCTTTAAACTGAATTATCCCATACCTCTGCAGGGTGGAGTGGCATGTTTTCCTTCCATTCATTAGAAAAAGAGGTTTACTCATACAAATCTCGTGACACTCGAAAGTAAAGCTGTCACCATCATTCATAGAAGCCAAGGGCACCACCCTTAAACCCGTCTCTCCTTTCCTGTTCTAGAGTATCTTGCTTGTGCCTGGGGGATTCTCCTGTTCTGCCTAATCTATTACACAATAGATCAGGTTTCATGTAGGCAAAGGAGACTCTTCTGCCACAAGGACACACTTTTTGCTCCTGAGCACAGGTGTGAGAAAGGTCAAGCAGCTGTCTCTTCTGCAGCTCCCCTCACTACTTCCCCCTTTCTTGACTTGGATTTGTGTGTAATTTAACACTGCTTTTTTTGCGTTGTGTTATGAGATTAAAACTCATCAATAAAACAAACATTTAAAAGCAGCAAATGAAATGAACGCCTTCTCTGTCTAAGTTAAGCCTCAAGATGTTCTGGACCACAATTCCTCACATTTCTGAATCGTGACCACTGGCTGTGCTGACTGAGGCTGGTGGGAAGCTGGAGTCCAAAACAGCTGGAGGGCAGCAGGTTGGGGAAGGCTGAGCTAAGCTATCTTTGGTTGGCAGGCACTTGCTACGTTACGGGCTTCTTCAGGAGAGCTCGTACTGATGATGAGTGCCTTGTCAAGAGCTCTCAGAAAATGATTAGATTGGAGCCAGGTGTTTTAGGTCCTCCCTAGGCACAGGACTACTTTGGCATCATCCTCGTCTGATCCTGCATGCACAAAGTCACATCCTTGTAATTTGCGTTCACTAACTAGAGAATAACTACCACACTGTAGTGGCAGTGCCAATTGCAGGTTTGGAGGGCCCTTGGGCAAGACACAATCAGGAAGCATCCTCCCTCAGTAAATCTGCTGCCTCAATACCAGCTCCTCCTCTTTTTCATGACTGGTATCACTTGCATGCTTGACAGCAGAGAGCCAGTTTCCAAGTAGGCAGTGACGACATCTCCCCTCATCCTCCTTGTCCCCCCCCCCCCCCCAATCTTCTTTGGGCCAGAGCAGCAGGCAGGTAAGCACACAGGTTGTACTAGGGTACAGGTGGAGCGAGACCAGGGCCTTGTCAGTGACCCCTGCTGGTGCGAAGGACCTCCATGGATGCTGGACCATGACTGTCCTTGGTGCCAAGCCAGTGTACTGGCAGCCACTAATGAGGAGGATTTTCTTGTAGAGGAGGAAGCTGGATGGTCTCTCTGTGGGGTGAAATCCCTCCCATCGCCAGTGATTTTGCCTCACGCCCTGCCTTTCACACCTTTGTTGGTACAACTTGCAAGCAGCCTGTGACCTGGTGGGAGACTCGGCTTCATCCAGCCAGGCCTCTGGAATGCGTGCCAGATCCGCCTGCTCATCCAGGCTTGAGTCTCGAACAATTGTTGCTTTATTAAGAACCGATCTGGAATTGAACAAAGGAACAATGAGCAAGGCAGCTCAGGCAGGGACTGCCTCTAGGAACATGCTGCTTGGAAAGGAGCCCAGGCTGTCTGTCCCCTCTCCTCCTCACCTGGTCTGCCTCCATCTCTAGGCTGCAGTCCTATGTCCATTTTCCTGGGAGTAAGACTCATTTCTATCAATAGGAGGAGACATAAATAAGATTGGACTGTTAATGAGAGATAAACAAGAAGTTGGTCAGTTTGTATTTCAATGTGAACTTACATTTAAACGACTTATTTTATATTGTTAACTTGTTTTATATTGTTAATTTATTGTATTTTAATTGATTTATTTGTAAGCCGCCCCGAGGCTTCAGTGAATGGGGCGGCATAGAAATTTTCTAAATAAATAAATAAATGCATAACATAATGCAGTTTGATGCAAAATCTGCACATTTTACAAGTTTGTGATGCACTTTGCTGAAAAGAAAAAAATAGCTTATCAAAATTAATACATTTTTAAAAAATCTAAAACTGAATACTGAAAAGAAATACCCATGTCAAATACATATCCTTCCAAAAAATGCACACAAGGATGCTTAATCTGATGGTGAAAGTTACATCCATTTGTAAAAGTACAGATCAAGGTCCATAGATTTGGGGAGAATACATACAAAAATGTGGATTTTTTAAACGGAAACATATACAAAAATGCATACAAACTTTTGCACAGATCTGGAGGAAAAATTGCACAGTCCAATCTGGAACTGGGACAAAACAAATGAACTTGGGAAAATGAGAGCCATACTGACATGGTGATGTGGTGCTTAACAGAGACAGATCCTGATATTAACACTTTATATATTCAATTATCCTTATTGGGCATCTCCATTGCTGAGGATGCTGAGAATGCTGCTGGAAATTCCCATCACAGAATTACAGTCCCCAGCATCCCAGAGACAGTAAATATGATAAACCAAGTTAAACCTGCCATGCCAATTACACCCCAGGAGTCCTCACAGAACTAGCTTTACTCCTGGATTCTGCAATGTCAGGATCACGCTTGCTTTTTATCAGTCTTGGTTCTTGTGCTAGCTGCACATTTCCTCTGTTGTCATTCATGCTTGGACCACTTCAGCATCTGTTTCTGGCAGTTCCTTGTCTACTGCCTGACAAGGGGGTTGTGTCTGATGAGAGTTCAGAAGCTTCTGCCAGTACAGAATGTGGCTGCTTGTTGCTTATAATGGAATATGGAGATGGTATGAGGCCAATATTTGGCATGGTTGGCCATTCATTTCTAATTCCTATCCACACAGCCAGCCCTTCCATGAAACAGTGAATCCCACAGCTCATTCATCCCGTGTCTCATTTCTCGTAATTCTCACCTGAACTAATCTAGTCATCCACAGAACAGGAAAAATTGAAAACTTCTGAAAGTTAATCTCTCAACACATTGTGTCCCACTGCAAGGAACGCCCTACACCAACACCTCACTCCAGCAAGGTAGAACTACAGTGGGTGCTCCGAAGAGCCCTGCCAGTCCCTCTCTGACCAGGGCATTTCTTCCCTGGAACAGCTGCCTGGCTAGCAGCACTGTAGAGGGTGCTCCAGAGACTCCCACATGCGACAGTGAGGGAGTGGCTGGCAGGGCTCTCCAGAGGCAGAGGGCAAACAGGCAGGGACTCTGGAGCAGCCGCCCACCCTCTGCCTTGCTCCGAGATCCTTAGGTGGGCAGCCATGCTCTGGCTCACACTGAGAATCCTCTGCTGAGGAGCCAGGGGATGAGCAAGTGGCCCTCTGGAGAGCCACATCTGCAAGAGTCAGCATCCTGCATAGCTCTTCAGAGAGCCATCCAGGCTCCAGCGGGTCCTTCCTCAGAGCCAGGCATTGTGGGAGGAGTGGCACAGGAGACGGTCTGTGCTACAGTGATCACTGGTGCAGACTGGGAATGAGGGCAACTGCAGTCCATCTAGTCTGGAGGCCACCAGGAGGTCAGAGACGACTTTAGGTGGTTCTAAGCTGGAAGTCAGCTCCTGTTGATGAAACTCTGGGGTAGGAAAAGAGACAAAATCGGACAGCTGTGAACCTGCTCTGAGGTTGCTCCTGAGCCTAGGGTGTCCAGATGCAAAAGCAGATAGGGCTCTGGCACCTTGAACAGCTGCAGATAAGAGGACATTTGAGCAGATGCAGTTTATCCTGTAAACTCTTCCACATGATTAGTAAAGGACCAGGACTCCTCCCCCATTTTGCATCTGGACACTCTAAATCTGGCTTCTTTCTCTGTGGTTCCATGGTTGAATGCAACCTCCCAAATAGCTCTTTTACAAAAATTCTTTCAAGGTAAAATGCTGTTGCAAATATCCATATGGAAAGCTGGACTGATGGGTGGGATTGTGCATTACTTTCTTGTGACACATACCCAAACTAACCAAAAAGCGGGGGTGGGGGCATGCCTACCTTAAAGTAATATCTCATCCATTATCCATTCAAAGGGTTCTTAATAATGCAGTAATTCATGATGATCCCAAGAAAAAGAAAACTTACTGTGCCCTAATGGCTCTAGGAAAGTGGTGACATTTTAAAGGTGACTATTATATGTTTAAAACAATGCCACCACTTTGTTTGCTGGCAAAGGCCATATATAATAATAACCAGAACTAATTTAGTGATCCATATTACAGGAAAAAGCTTTTGAAAGTTAATCTCTCACCTGATCAACTGAAGGGCTTCAACATCTGCTCTTGAAGTAAATAGGATATTATATTTTAACACTGGACTCCTTTCTGGTTGGAAGTCATTGTTCATATACATGTTGTTCTTGAAAAAACTTGTGACAATAATTGAAGCTCATGTACTTTCAAATTATATTCCTGTGATGCGGAGATTAACAAATGGACAACAGTCAATTCTGAGAACCTGCATGGCCACAAAGAGACTCATTCCAAGCAAAATAACTCCCCACCACCCATTATTGGATGATCTGGAGAATGTGCTACTCTCACCACAGCTGAGCATTTATCTGCCAATCATGCACTTCATCTGGATGCTTACTGAGCAATATGGACTGCTTACAGAAATCTATATAGTTGAAACAGAAGTGGTGGGTCTTTCGTTTTGATTTTTCTTTCTATTTTATTGATGATGTTGTGAATGGTTGTTGTGAATGGATACACTTTCTGGCTATGTTCTTATTTGTTGCTGTTTCCTCTCTCTCTCTTTTGTTAAAATTACAAGAACATTTGCTTGTTCATTTGCTTCTCCCACTAGGTTCAAGATCCTCATAATCATCTTGACACCTATGCTAACTTTGCATCAGCAAATAGCACCTTCAGACATAGCTAGATTATCACAGTCACCTTTTTTGCAATCTCCTTCCTATATATTTTATCAAGAGCCTTTTTATTGACTTGGGTAGTGAGTAAGGCACAAGACTGAAGCAGTAAAGATTTCAGGGCACTCTACTCTCACACCAGCATTACAGCACACTTAAATTTAGTAAATTTTGACTGCATTTGGATTACCGTGATAAACAGGTGCACAGAATAAATTCAGGATAGTCCCTGCCTGCAGATTTATAGTCTAAAAGGCATGACACAAAAGGGGAAAAAAGGTGAAAGAAAAGAAAAAGTTGGAAATCCATGTTGTTTTTTAAAAGTTTTCATAATGAACAGATTGAATGGAAACAGTTCAGAATAGGAAGCTGATGGACACACAAGGATGACCACAGTGTAGATAGCTTGGTCCATGGAGCTACAGGTAGCTGTTTCAAAGACATGGAGAAGAATTAGGAAGGGGAAAACACTAAAGGGCAGATATCATCTATCCCAGCCCTTTCCAAAAGTGTTGGACTACAACTGCTCCAGATCAATTGGAGTCGTAGTCCAAGGCTCCAGGTTGGAAAATGTGACCTATCGCAAAGTGAGGGGAGCAAAAGGGGCATTTTCCTCCATGGGTCTATATTGGTCCAGGAATGCCAGGAAGCTCTATTCTCATCTACACTATTCCAAAGATGAACTCTCTTTGGAAGCAGGACACCCTGAGAACGCTCAGTGTGGGTTGGGATCAGCCTGCACTGGGTGGTTGGAGGTGAGGCCTGCATTTCTGAATCCTGTGTAGTTGCCTGAGTCACCTACACCTTCATAAACTCACTGGCCCAACTGAGTCTCCATGGATTGATTTGGGCTTCTGTCTTCATCCTCAGGCAGTTTCACGGGTTCATACACAGGAAGCCCTACATGCACCATGCTATTCCTTTTCTGTCAACAAAAATAAAGCAAAGCAATAAAGTGGCCTAAACCAATGAAGTTGTATTAAATAGTCACTTTTTTGTTGTTGTTTTCAGCACTCCTGTGCCTTTAAGTGAGACATGCAGGAGTTCAACAGGTAATACTTGGGGCCTTGCTCTGTGCTGGACAGAAGGGGATCTATTTCTCTTCTTCTGGCCATGTAATTATTAAAAGCACTTGAGCACATTGAGTAGGGATGTCAGATAAATGTGCAACAGATTCAAATGAGTTTCAATATTTATTAATGCAGCTTGTGAATGCCTTCACACACTGGCTTTTTCCAAGTCACATGGATTCTGCAGGGTTATAGACCAATTTTCCCCTTTTCAGGGAAGATTTGTACTAATTCGCATTCGTACTAAAGTAAATTAGCACTAATATGACTTACCACCAAGCAGAGTGAAATTCTGAGGGAAAGAATCCGATTTCATCAGTTAGTGGATGACAGAGTGAAAGATGCCTGATAAGTGTGATAAAGATAAAGATACCACAAGAGCCAGTGTGGCATAGTGGTTGAGAGCGTGGGACTGGGACTCAGGTGATCTGGGTTCTAGTCCCTGCTCCGCCATGGAGCCAGCTGGGTGACTTGAGACCAGTCACAGACTTTCAGTCCAACCTACCTCACAGGGTTGTTGTGAGGACGTTGAGAGCAGCAGGAGGAGAATGATAAAAGCTGCCTTGAGTTATTTTAAAAAGAAAAAAGCAGGGTATAAATCTAATAAATCAATAAAATAAATAATCCATGAAAGACAGAATACATTTGACATACTCCATATCTGAAACCCTACACTGTACAAAGAATAGGTTGGCCCCACTGGCATATGACTTAATCCTAGCCTTTTAGGTCGATCCTCTCAGACCTTCCCTGTTCAACAAGTTGTTTTGCTTGAATAAGGTCAGGGTTGCTTCAGTCAGCCAAGCAGGTGGAGACTGCAGTTGATAATGTTATCTTCAGGTGTATGGTGCCAGCAACAACACCTACACCATAAAGCTGTGTCTCAGTGCTTAGTCAGTGTGCGGTCTTTTTAAAAAGGGAACTGTTCCTTGTTTCTTTTCATAGAGAAAGAACTGGAAACACTGAGAGCATTCAGGCTTATCTTTATATGATGTCTGATTCAACACTGTATTTTGACAGGCATCGAAATACATAGCTTACATTCTTTTATGTATGCTTTACTTATATTAGTGGGAAAATGAGGTAACTGTTAAGAGTTTAGGCCAAAAGAAATTTAATCAAGACATTGTCTGATCTCCCAATTTAAAAAGAACTGAAATTTTTAAAGTAACCATGTGGGGAAAGAGGCAGTCTCTGTATTTGATCTGAGCAGTGGTGCTGAGTAAAAGATAGGAAATAATTTTTTAGCTTGCATTTTTATACACTTTACCTAACTTTGCATTTCAAACCGATGTGTAAATTAAAAAGCAGCTATCCTTCAAAATTCTCACTGCTCCCAATAGTGCAAAGGTGTTCTCCAATTAAAAATGCATACAAAACTGTGCATATTAGGAAAACACACACACAGAACTGTGTATCTTCACAAAGTATATGTTGAAGTACTTTAAATAAAGTTAAAATGCCTTTTCTTATAATCTTGTCCTCAAAACACAAGGAATATAAGAATGACACAGTCTTTCAGAAGCATACTGGCAACCTTGGACTCACTGTTGTCTTCCAGCACATTTGAAAAAGGGAAATTGCCTTGCAGAATAAGGGGGTTGAATCTGAGAGTCAACCACAAGACCACTGATCACTCTAGCAATGATGAAGGTCATATTTTTCATGAGTGTGCATTGCTGTGCTAAGGATAACTTTATCAGATTCAATGTCAGTTGTAACAAACAAAATGATGAACAGGTATTTGTCTGTACAGATGCCATTTCCCCACAATTCTGCCATTCCTATGCCAGGAAAAGTGTCATGTCTTGAATTTCTGCTTGCCACATGTCTCTTAAAGGCACAGAAGCCTCCTAACAGAAAAAAAAGTGGATGGGGAAAGGAACCTATCTAAAAAAGTGCTACAACAGGCCAGCCTTAGCACTCATCAGGTCCACTTCCCAGCTCCCACCTGGGATTCAAAATCCGCACCCTGCTGTGCTACAGGAGTATCACACACATCAGTCCTGGTCTTCACAGTATTAAGCAATGAATTTCAGTGCCATCTGTGTGTAGCTTTGGAGTGGCAACTCCAAAAGGAAGATGCCCCTTGCTTTTGCCTGTTAGAGGCTTGCCATACCAGTGATTACCTGCCTCCATTGACAGGTATGAAGGAATTATCACCCACCTGGACATAGGTCGCTGAGCATGTGAGCCAGGAGTTAGATGCTGCTGTCACAGAGGGTGATGCTGGTCTTTCCTCACCAGTGCCATTGCTGGCATCATGTGTGCGAGTCCGACTGTTTCCCTCTCCTCATTTGCTGCTAGCAACAACTGAAGAAAATGCAGGACTAAGATGTTTAAAGCCTTCTCAAGCCTCTAATGATCTCATTGCCTGAGATGCTACTTTTAAGGGTTAACCCCCCCCCCAAAAAAAAGAATCAGTATTTTTAAGGTCTCATTAGTAATAAAAAAAGATCCAGCAGCAACTTCACAGCCACTCTAGAAAACTACTCTATCCTCCTCAAAGCTTTGGCATTGGGTTGATGGAGTCTCTCATATGGTGGCCATGCACCCCTCTTTAAGAAGCACATTATTCTGTGTTAAAGTGTCCTTCTAGTGAAGAATCTCTGGTCCAAGACCATTTTAAGATAAAGAATCTTAAGAAGGAAGGGAAAGTAGCAGCCTTGACATTGCTCATCATTGTTTGGATGGGTGGATATTGGCACCTGATCAGTTTTCCTCATTATGCTGCGATGTACTGCATTAATGAATAATGATTAAATGCAGATCTAAATTAATGTGCATAATATTTGCACATGTTGATTCACATGTATACATATAAATCAGCATGCTTTTTGTTGTTGTTGCATTGCACGTACATCACAACCATCTTCCTCTAGCAAGGAACCCAGGGTGACTTACAAGGTTCTCCTACTCTCTGTGAGGTAGGCTAGGCTGAGAGGCGGTACCAAGCCCAAAGCCACCCAGCAAGTTTCATGGCTAAGTGGGCCTTGGAACCCAGATCCCACTCTTAGCCATTCCCCCCACACTGGCTCTCAAATGTTATGCAAATCTGTGTGCTCTTTGCCTTTCTTTTGTGTTGCGTAAAGGAGGACTCTTGGAGAAATACAGGATTTTCAGATCTCAGGCCAGTCATTCCAGAACAGTCCCATCAGTTTTAATGGCACTAATTTAATGGTTTGAAATGCTGGATTACAAAATGAGAGTTTCAGGTATTTCAATACATCCTTAAGGGTTTGCTGCTGCTGCTGCTGCTGCTGTCATTTCACCCTTATTAGATCATTGACCAAATACCCAGATTAATTTTTTTCTGCACCCTAAGTTTTGTACAATCAGTGGAGAGGTGTAAATGTATTACAATTCTGTTAGATTTGCATCAAAGAGAGGAGAAATTTAGTCATTATATATTTGTCTTTTTTCTTGTAACAGCAGGAACTGATTAAGAACAAAAATGGCCATTGTATGAAGAAAGAATTATTTGGGGGAAAATAATAAGAAAAACAAGTTTCCATGTGTTTACCATAAAAATAACATGAACTCCACCTTAGGGTATATAAAAGTACAGACTGTTCACTGTATGTTTTGGCATCAGTTTAAAATGCCTTTATAAACATATCCTATTAAATATTTAATTATTTATCACAAAAGTGGTTATTTTGACATGAGTTAGTAAAAGCAATGGCTTTTCACATCCTAGAATAGCTGACCAGTTACAATATATTACTGGTATGTTTTATTCATAAATACTGGTAAAATTGCCTTTAAAGTTTATCCAAGGGCACTAATTCCTTTTAGAAACAATACCATAGGTTTTCCAATTTTGAAAATAAGACAGATAACTTTTTCATATAATGTTTGACCAAACTTTTTATTTATTATATGTACTTGCTAAAAATGGGTTATATATAGTCTATGTGTAGTATAAAAAACAAAAAAAAATCTTCAACAAAATTTTAATTCAAATAATCACATTTGGTTGGCAAGGAACATTAATTTAAAACAAGTGTAAGTTTGTAAATTAAGTATATTAAGAAATAAACAGGAGACATTTTGCTGATACCATGGATAAAATCAACAGAGTTTTTTCAGTATTGTTATGAGAAAGAGCTGAATATTATTAACTAGAATGGGTTTTTAAAAATACAACTTCATTAATGAAGGAGATAGTGCATTATTGTTTCATTTTGTTATGTCTTGCTTTATTTTGCATTTTGTTTCAAGAAGAGGTTATCATATTTACTAGGTTATAGTAATTATTTTATCTTTGTATAGACATTCAGTGAATTTTTAACTGCTGTTTTAAGACTAGAGTTGAGGCCATTCTGGTTTGCCAAAGGCTCTTCAAAGTCAAGACACTGGAAACTAAGGCCGATGCCTTAACTGGCATGCCCCATCATGAGTGATGATGTTGTGTAGTGTCACAAATAGTGCTTGTTTGGCATTAGCATGCAAGAGGAGGACTACATGGTCCCAGGTACTTCCTCTCTCCCATCTACATCTGGATTTGGGCATGGAAGCACGGAACGTAAGTTGTAAGCAGCTCTCCCTCCTACCTTTGAGTTCTATAATAATGGACCTTTTTGTGGGGGGAGGCAAATCCCACACCTTTTTCATAGGAGATAATCACCAGCCATAGTATTGTAAAGAATGGAATATGGATGTATGATGTGTTTCATACTGATGTCACACCAATAGAGAGAAAGAGAATGTAAGAATGTAAGCTGGCTTTGCACAATACTACATAAGAGTTTGTATTGCAGATACACTTAGGAATGCATGAGCTACTCTGAAATCTAGCCAGAGTGTGTTGCTGCAACAGGAATATAATCTTGGATAATCCTCCAGCACACATGGAAGATAAGGCTACTGATGGCTACTTGGCTAGTCATTATTGGCCACAGGTCTAATAGCTGAGGCAGATGCCTCCCAACTGCTAGGGAGCATGGGGGAAGAGGTGCTATTGAACTCATGTCTGCTTGTGGGCTTCCCTTGGGTATCTGGTTAGCTGCTGAAGGAAACAGAATGCTGGGCTGGAGAAGATTTGATGTGACTCAGCATAGCTCTTATGTTCTTGTGCACACAGTGAAAATGCTGTTTCAAATGTGAGGATGAGCATTCAGTAGGAATCCACATTTGACTTTGTTTTTTAAAGGAATGGACAATGAAATCAATGAATGAACTCAACTGTTTCATTCATTTTACAATAAAAATTAGTTAACAGATTGTAACAATAATAACAAACAATGTAACAAATAAAAATTTAGAAGCCAAATTTACCCTCCATTTGTTTGTACTGAATCTACTGCCAGTCCAAGTCATCAGACCACAACTACTGATATTACAGGAAGGGTGTTGGGAGATGCTTCTCTGCCTATCTTTGTCACAACATGTGGGTTTGTATGGAGTTAAAAATGGGGTCCATCTTTTTGTACAGGCACAGAATGTAGCCTCTATAACCCTGAAAGCCCTGACCCAAGATGACAATATTTATTATTTCCAATTGAAAAGTAATAGAAAAATTAAATAAAATGATAAAATATTATTTCTAATTACCAACCAACTGATTTTTGCCACAGAAAGAGTTTATTTCGAAGATGTTAATACCACTAAACCACTAAATAGAACCACTAAATTATTGCAAAGCTAATAAGAAAAACCATAATGAGAAATAAGAACAGCTATGAAATACACAGTCAAGAGGTTTGCGGGTGACCACAGTTACGCCTCCGTGTTTTCTAGAAATAACTTGTCCAGTCATGTCTACCCAGTTAACTGAGATGCAAATGCCTAATTATAATGCAGATATCTGAGGCAGAGACTCTGTTTTCATTCCTGGCTATACTCATCTTCTACTAGCCTTTATTTGAATATTAGTGTAAAACACTGATGAACTTCAGGGGTGCACTAGTGCTAACATCCAGAAGACACTGTGTGACTCTCCTGTCTCTTCTTCCTTAAAGGATTCTCTGCAGTAAAGAAAGAAGATGGAAGAAGCACTGGAAATACACAGGAACATTACAAAAGGATAATATTGTCTGAGCCCCTCGTATAATTTCATGAAATTTCCATGAATGAGGCAGGGTGATGACAGGATAAAACCCTTGTGCAGAAGCCCAAGAAAACCAAATGGGGAAGAAAAGGTGAAATAGCTGTATGGCACCATGTAGTTTGTAGTGCTAGTTGCTTTCCATCTGAAAGCCCTAAATGGACCTTTTGTGGAAAGAAAAAAAGGTGGAAGACACAGTAGGAAAACATGGGAGGATTAAAAGTGTAAGACAACATTATTTTCCCTGCTTTCTCCACCCACTAAAAGTTCTTAAATAAAGAATGGCAATGGCACAGTGAAAGCATTCCCTGCAAATAATCCTCAGTTCAGGTTCAAGTCTATGTTGCCTGCCAAGTTCTGCTACAGTTTGCTCTCTAATTTCTGGGTGCAAGTCAGCACCATAAAAATGGCAGTTCCAAAAAGTACAGCTTATGCTGTTTTTCTCCCTGTGCAAAATCTTACGCTCCATGAAAGATGTACAGAACTGCTCTGGAATGCACTTTCATGGTGTGTCCCATCCTGACCATGGTGACAACCCCCTTCATTTTTGGAACGAGCTCCTACCTTTTATGATAGAGGCAGCATTGCACTCATTCATCTGGGGAGTTTTGGCCTGCTACTTTCATTTAGTTCAGACTGGCTATTTTGTGAGGTCTTCTCAAGGTTCCCTCTTATTTTCACTCCCAAAAGCAACACATCAAATTTAGACACATGGGTGAGATTACTAATTGAAATACACTTCATCCATAGGCAAAAGGCATGGATTTATTTATTCATTATTACCTTTTTTCTTTTTAAAGAACTCAGAGCACCTTACATCATTCTCCTGCTGCTCTCAACATCGTCACAACAACCCTATGAGGTAGGTTGGACTGAGAGTCTGTGACTGGCCTCAAGTCACCCAGCTGGCTCCATGGTGAGTAGGAACTGGAACCCACATCACCTGAGTCCCAGTCCCACGCTCTTAACCACTACACTGCACTGGCTCTCAGTTGAATTCTACCAATTTCATGGTTTCTTTCACATTGATTCTGGATGTTTTTCTTTTCCACTCTTCACTGCTCCTGATTCTACTAAATGTTTCCCCATCCAGTATTTTTAAAAGATTATTGTTATTAGTATTAATATGATTCATGTTATGTTTCTTTGAATAACTCATATACTGTTAATTCCAAGCATTCATCAGTTTCTCAGTGCCTGATATAAATCTTTGGTAACAAAGTCGGGACTTTCATGCCTCAAGATGAATACTCTGTGTAGGAGTAAATGCAGCTAAAGTCTTTAATGTTATAATAACCATGGGGATATGGTTTTGCCTGAAAACATATACAAACCTATGCATGTTTAGCCAGAAGTAAATCTTCTTGGATTCAAGAGTATGCACGCTCAGGTAATTATGGAAAGGAATGCAGCCATAAGCGTATCTGGATTAATAAAAAACAAAAGCCACCTGCATTGTATTTAGGAAGAAAAATATATCAGTGTTTGGCTATGGAAAGGGTTTACAAAGCAACAAAAGGTCAAAAGCAATAGCCTGTATGTTACTGTCTTGTTTGTCATTTCAAGCATTTGTTTTACAAATACCCTATATGTAAATAGAAAATGAAGAATATATTTAAATTTTAATAGCACTTTAAATCTATAAATGTCATATATTTAAAACGCAGATAGTGAGTGAGATGAATGGTTGCTGTACAGTATTATTTTACGTGAACATTTGTTTCATGTGAGCATTTGTAGTTCATTCTAATAGGAACATCAAATCATTTTACATCATTCAAAGTTGTCCCCTTATTCAATATTTGTAAACTGATGTGCCGAATAATTTTACCTTTCTCTCCCTTAAACAATAACTTGATTCTACTCTGATGTACTTTTCTCCCTCCCTCCCTCCCTCCCTCCCTCCCTCCCTCCCTCTCTGTGCGCACATGCTATCCTAAGCATACTTCCCTTGAAGGCAAGTCCCAATGAAATTGTTGGCAAGCTCCACAGCTCAGCTTCTGCTACACAGGAGTGAAGTACGCACCACAGGACAAGGCATGTACTAAACATGCCCGCTACTTTTTCTCTGCATTGTCATGGGCCATTTGCCGCAGAGAAGTGCGTGGGAGGTGCTTAGCCCTTCTCCCAAGAGGTGCCTTTCGGCTGCAACTCCCCATCCACTCCCTCCCCCAAAGGTTCCAAATGCAGGCTTACTTCAGACAGAGAACCTTTGCAGTGTGGTGGTCAGCATACGGCACACAGACTCAGGAAATCCAGTCCCTAGTCCCCACCCAGCCATCAAGCTCACTGGCTGACAGTTACTGAGTCAACACAGCCTACCTCACAGGGTTGTTGTGATGAGAAGAGGAGGTGGATTATGCAAGGCAGCTTGGCTTCCTTCTGGAAAATAAAGATTACAAATGAATAAAGGTTTGTGTGAGGTCCAGTGGATGGGAACAGCATCTGCGGAGTGGCTGTTGCCAAAAAAGCGGTCAGAAGGGAAGGGTTAAAGCATACCCCCTTCTCTGCAGCAAATCCCCCCTCAGAGAGCTGCATTGCCTAAAATATTTGATACTGCAGTTGGATTAGATACAAAAGCATGCCACCCCCCCAGGCTGGCCCCTCTGTCCCACTTCACAGAGGACGCATTTGAAAGGTTGTCAAAGGACACTGGCCTACATGCCCAGTCTAAGGCTGACAAGGAGGAAGAGGAGGGGACCAAGGAGATCCTTGAAGCTGCCCATCAAGATGCAAGTCCCTGGATGGCAACTAGAGCATTCTACCACACTGGTCACTTTAGTACAGTCTTTCCATTACATTGGGATAAGTTACATCATAAGAATTATTTCTAAATTGGCATTGATATGTATAAATTAGCACTTGGAATCGTATGCATTTTGGTGTTCAGTTTCTTGGCAGAATGCACGTGTGGGCACCCTGTGCCACTTTTCCATCTGCCACCCTAACTTGCTTTTTGCCGGAATCTATCCCTTACCAAGGAGTCAAATCTAGGGCCTAAAACCAAAGAAAAGATGCTGTTATATAAACCAAAGTCAGGAATAAATTTTCCAAATACATGCAGATCCATAACACAATCTACTTGGGAAAGCAGAAGCTTTTTTTGGAATAATAGAATCTTACCCACAGAAGAGATACACATATAATTTTAAGTCACAACCCCTAACCAGCATTATTCATACCACGGATTACAGAAAGCTTGTTTTCCCTTCCTTTTTCTTTTTTTAACAGAAAAAGTATTTTCCCAGTGCAGAATTTCTGTAGATTCATACATGGTTGCTCATAAGAACGAGTTTTAAATATGCTGGAACGCATGCCTGGATGCCTGAGTCACTGCCATGGCAGGATGGGCTGGTTGCCCTGCAAGTGGGAGAGCTTCCAGAAACACCCAGGTGCCCCTGAGTCAGCCTCCCTCTCCATGATGCCGCAGAGCCACTAGCACCACAGGCTGGACTGCCAGTGGGCCACACAGGCAGCCAAGGTGTCCTTTGGGCAAAAGCACGTTTGCTAAGGGCCGCATTATTGCAGGAGGTACAGTGGTGACTCCAGGTTTTGGGGGCTCTCTGGCAAAATATCCCAGGGGCCCCTCCCTTGGTGTGTCCGCCTCCACTGGCCGCTGCCTCCCTCCCTCCCCACAGCACGCCTGTCAGAGAGAATCAGAGCAGTGGCAAGGAGCAAGCAGGGAGCCACAGTGGCGCCCCTCATCCTCTCCACCACCACCATTGCTCCGTGGGTCATCCCTTCTAAGCTACCAGAAGGTGGCAGGTGAGCCTGGGCTGGTGACAGGGCAAGGCAGCTCTCAGTGGTGGGGCCCCTCCTTGGCACAGGCCACTGCTTCACCACACGGCTGTCTGCAGTGGGAGCCACAATAGACTGCAGCCTAGCGTCTTATATTAGGTAGCTAAAACCCTGCTCGGGCCACTCTTGGCTTGACTGGAAGGCAGAGTTCCAGCCTGACTCACACACCCAATAATACAGGGAGGGCTGGGGCTAGGTGCCAAAGGGGAATGGCAAGTTTGGTTTCCTTGGTGACGTCCTTTCTTTCTGTGCTCTGGACACCTGGTGTGACTGTCCCCTTCTCCTGAAACTCAGAGTTCTCCATGAGCAATGACTGTTGAGCAATAACAGCCTGATATGATCATCTTCCCTGGAATCTGCCTGTCTTCAAATCGGAGCTGATATGGAGCACGAGCAGCCAAAGCAAACAATCTGCCTCTCATCTTAGCAAAGTACTGAGACACAATCTCTTTCCCTTTTGGTCATCCATCAAAATATGAGGGGAGGCTGAGAGAACTGGGCATGTTCAGCCTTGAGAAGAGAAGACTAAGGGGGACATGGTATCCCTCTATAGGTACCTCAAAGGCTGTCACAAAGAGGAAGGTCAGTATCTCTCCTTGCTGACACCAGAGCGTAGGACACAGAATAATCAATTCAAGCTGCGACAGCCCAGTTTCAGGCTAGATATCAGGAAAAGCTTCCTTACTGTCCCAGAAATACAGCAGTTGAACCAGCTGCCTAGAGAGGTGGTGGGCTCTCCCACACTAGAGACATTCAAAGAGAAACACAGGTGTTAATGCTGATTTAGGTGAATTATTAGTGTAATCTAGCATGGCAGAGCGAATCCTCACATCACTCAATATCTCCCATTGTTTGATCTCCAATCAACTGGAATTACAATGCAACAAGCCACACTGTTTTGTGTATTGTGTTGTGTTTAATTGTAAATTGCAATTACAATACAACAGGGTGAATCTGCTCTGTGGAGCCAAGACCTGCCCATGCCCCCTCCCCATGACTTTTGCACATTTTTGCATGCAAAGGCTCTGTCTGATGAAACTGGGACTCTGCACAGTGTGATATCTCAGGTTCATAGGGTTGAGCAAGGAATTCATTTCGTTCAGAAATCCACCAGATTCCCTGGTTTTGGCTTCCTGGACTCTGGTCCACTTTGCAGCAGCCCAGAGTCTGAGCTCCTGGAGAGTGCACCCAGAATTCACAAGGTGCTCACTAGGAATCAATCCCATGTCCTGCACAAGCAGTGCCACGCTGAATCAGACCCAGGGTCCATTCAGTTCAGCATTAGGTTCACACATTGTCCAACCACCTGTCCACAGGATGCCACATGCAAGATATGTGTGCAACAGGACCCTCCTGCCCCCGTTCCCCAGCAGCTGGTATACCAAGGCACAATCCCTCTGATCCTGGATTGCCTACGTAGGACATACCTGGCTGATTAGCATTAAGCCTGGGCAGGCTAGTGGAGTCCCCAAGCGTTATCTATGAATCTGGAACCATCGTGTAGCAGGTGGGGCTCAGTTACTGGTGGGCACCACACACACATTGAGCATGGTCACCAGGAACTCAAATTCAGGGTCACAGCAAAGTAGACTGGAGTCCCAAGCGCTGATTCCCACCCTGAAACAGACTCCTCACACATCCCTAGGTAGCAGCATCACATTTGGGCTATAAGAGCAATCTTACCTCTTTATCTAATTCAAAACTTTGATCCAGTGACATCATTCTAAGAACATAAGTAAATAAGATGCACCATGCTGGTGCAGGCCGAGGTCTGCCTAGTCAAGCATTTCATTCACACCATTGCCTGCATGAAAGCCACAAGCAGGGCATGAGTACAACACTACCCAAGATCCCCAGCAAAGGTGTACTTAGCATACTGCCTCTGATAGTGAAGGTAGCATACAACCATCAGGAGAAGAGCCACAGATAGCCTTATCTGTCATTAATTTGACCAATCTGAGAAGTGAATTAGATAGTGTAAATATGAGTTGCGTAAAGAACTTTTTATTTGTCCTGAACAGACTACCAATCATCTTCCCTTTGGTTCTAGTGTTATGAGATAGAAGGGAAAATGTCTCCCTATCCACTTCCTGTACACCATGTACTCTTCCATTATGTCTCCCTTACTCACCCTTTTTATAAGCTAAACAATCTCAGCTTTTTATTGTTTCCCTTTAGGGGAGTTGCTCCAACCCTCTGATCATTTCAATTGTGCTTTTCTAACCCAGTTGTTGTTATATTTATCATCTCTGACTTATGGTGACCCCGTGAATGGAAGTCTTCCAAAGTGTCCTGTCCATGACAGCTCCATTCAGCTTTTTCATTTTCAAGGCTGTCAATCCATCTCATATCTGGCCTTCCTCTCCTTACTCTGCCTTCAATTACCGTGGCATGACTGTCTTCTCCTTAGAGACTTGCCTTCTCGAGTGCCTGAAGTACATACCCCCTTTTTAGATGCAGCGACTCAAACTGTGTACAATATTCCAAGGGTAGTCACACCTTAGATATGTCTTAATGGGAGTGTGATCTTGGCAGTCTTGGTGTTGATTGCTGCCTAATAATGCCTGATATGGACTTTTTTTTTTTTTCATAGCAGCTGCACACTGGGTCAGTTTTTTCTATCAAGCTATCCACCAGAATCCCAAGACCTCCTTTTTAGTCACTTTTAGCTCCTATCCCATCAGCATACATGTGAAGTTGAGATGTTTTTCCCCCACATGCCTCACTGTATGCTCGCTTACATTGAACTGCATTTCCTATTTTAATGCTAATTTTCCTTGCTTGTAAAGTTGTTGCCAAATCAAGGCCTTAGCTTGCTACACCTGCCTTATTTGCATAAATCTAAGCCCAGTGAACAAGAGCAGTAATGTGCTCATTATTGCAAACATGACACAATTAATTCAGCTCTAAAACATTTGGCTGACCTTCTGTTTCCTGGTATCTGCATGTACTTAAAGTGAAGTCATCTTATTGACACTTACATATTATTTCTCATCTTTCACAGATCTCCTTATTAACCTGTTGAGGGGACTGAATCCAGCTGTCTCTGAAGACTGTTCAGAAGTGGCACTATACACAGTGTATCCCTATACGGGTTGGGACCACAAGACCTATTGGAATGCCTCTCCCAATGAAATCCATCTGGACATTACAATAAAGTTCCAGGGCCTGCCTGCCTCTGATTGCCACCACCAAGGGAGGCTCAGTTGATGACAACAAGAAGGGACTTCTCAATGACATCCCCTCAGATATGGAACAATCTCCCCACTGAGGCACACCTTGCGCTGCCAACTTTAGTATCTTTTCCGTCCCTGGTTAGGATTGCCCTCTATGACAGGGCCTCTAATTTGTGTTGTATTATACTGGGGCATTGTGTCAACTGCTTAACAGGTCTTGCAATGTAATATGTGCAAGCGATTGTGGCATTTAAAATTTATTTTACATTTGGCTTTTAAACTTTTATCTTTTTTAATGTTTTTATTATTTTGTATACATATTGCATTGTATTTTAGCTGTCATTGTAAACTGCCCAGAGAGCTTCATTTATTGGGCATTCTGACCAGTAGTATTAATAAATTATATTA